ACCACCACACTCAGCTAAAGTAGCTGGGATTACAGGTGCACGCCACCACACTCAGCTAAAGTAGCTGGGATTACAGGTGCACACCACCACACTCAGCTAAAGTAGCTGGGATTACAGGTGCACGCCACCACACTCAGCTAAAGTAGCTGGGATTACAGGTGCACGCCACCACACTCAGCTAAGTTTTTGTATTTTTAGTAGAGATGGGGTTTTGTCATGCTGGCCTGGCTGGTCTCAAACTCCTGACCTCAGGTGATCCGCTCACCTCAGCCTCCCAAAGTGCTGGGATTACAGGCGTGAGCCACCACGCCCAGCCCCACCTCATTTCTGACTGAACACAGCATGTCCCTGCCATGATATTTACCAAACTTGGCTCCAAATGTCTTTTGCAAAAGTCAGATTTCACTTTAAAGGATGAGGAAAGTGGTTCAGGTTCCCAAAGGAGTTCCTAAGGAAGGCATCAGGTTTGGGAGGTGGCAGCAGTTTGTTGGGAAACAGAGCCAGTGCCCTGAGGTAACCCCTCAGGAGTCATTACTTGACCCAGCCCCATTCTCCTGTGGTGTATACTTGTTCTGGGACATGCCTCGTGGGTCTCCTTGAACAAAGGGGCCAGCAAGTGGCTGGGGGCCAGTTGCTGAGAGAAAAAGTGGAGGGTAACAAAGACAAGAAACAGAGGGAGAGATCTCAACAGAGAAGATGAGAAAAGGGATTTAAAGGGAACCAAAAGAGAAAGGGGACAGGAGGTGGTGGCCTCATCTGCTCCAAGTGCTGTCCCTCCCACCCACCCTCCATCTGCCCTTCCAGGACTCACCGTAGTTCATGGGCATCGGGTGGATGGGGGGCATGGGCTGTGGGTAGCCAGCAGGGTGACCGTAGCCAGGCTGCGGGTAGCCAGGGTAGGCAGGATACCCTCCTGGCAGGACGGATGGCTGCCCATAGCCCCCAGGGGGCGGAGGGCCTGGGTATAGGGGGTTGCGGTCCTCATATGGTGGTGGGGCGCTGGGGTTGGACATGGCCGCTCACAGGCTGAAGGGGAACCCCAGCTGCTGGGACCTGAAATGGAAGAGGAGAAAAGCAATCATGAATACCCAGGCCCAGCTCACTCAGCCTCGTGGCTCCACTTCCAGCCTTATCCAGGTTGCCTCTGTGGAGAGGAACACCTCCTATTTTCTCCTTAGAGGGCAGTGTGTCATTTGCTGTCCACAGGCCGCCTCCCCACCAGCTGGGCTCCTGTCCCTCCTGCCTCTGCGCCTGCTTTTTGTCTATGCGCCTCTCACTGTGCGGCTCCCCAGCCATAGGAAAGCAGGAGGAAGGATTCACTGAGGAGACAGGGAACCAGGGAGCCTGGGAACTCCCTGTTCTCATTTAAGAAAACCTTCCAGTGTTGGTGGCTTGATGGCAGAACCAGCGAAGAAGCCAGATGGCCCAGGCACAGCCTCCTGGCAACTCACAGGTCCAGCTGGGACCCTCTGAAAGGGTCAGCTCTGCCCCTGCCACAGCTGCCACGGGCATGCCAGGCCTGGAAGCCAGAGCTGGGTTGGAGCCAAGGCTCGAAGTGGAGAGCCAGGGGGAGAAGTGGAGGAAAACAAGCTAGCCCCAGCGCCAGAGCTGCCAGGCCCCAAGGGGGAAGGGATCCAGGGACCCGGGGGCCAGTGGCAGGCTGAGTCAGGAAGCCTGAGAAGCAGGGGTGGGTAGTACAGGGGCTGGGGGCGGGGAGGCTGTGCCAAAGGGACAGCCTGAGACAGGACTTTCTGGTTCCTTCAAATAACAGCAGTGGCGTGTCAGAAAGGCATGTGGCAGCCTGCGACCACGGCTGCTCTCTGGCCTTGCTAGGGAGGAGAGAGTGAGTGCAGGGCCCCTCGGCCCCCCGGAGGGGGAAACAGATGTTCTGAATCCCAGGCTCTCTGTGAGTTCCACCTGTTTTCCAGGTGCAGTGCTAGCAGGGAGGAGAAAGAGCTGAGGAGTCAGGCCACAAGGTCAAGGGAATGCCTTCCCTGCAGCAGGAAGAGTCCCACAGCCAGGGGAGAGCCAAGGAACCAAGGGGAGGGAACCCCAAAATGGAGTTGGAAGGGACCTCGAGGCCATAAGCTCCAAATGCTCACTTCAGATGACAGAATGCAGGCCCTTAACAGAGAAGTGATTCCCCAGGACCCCAGAACTCGCAGGTCAGTGGCATAACCAGGACGGAGGCCTTCCAGATCCTGGGTCCAGGTCCTTTATGTCATGGGGTGCTCTTATGCCTCCTCTGCCAGTTACTGTCCTCTGGGCCTGGTGGTCCCCTCTGAGGTAGCGGAGATGCAGGCTTAGGAAGAGCTAAGGAGGCCCCTAGAGGGCCCCTGCATCCCCAGTAAGGACAAGCCCTGGCAGTCTGGGCTTGACAGGGCCACCACCTCTTCTAGAGCATCTACAGGGGGCTTTAGGATCCCCAAGGAGGACACCCCCAGATGCAGGTCAGCAGACACCAGAGGCTCTCAGAGGCTCTGCTGGAAGCAACAGAGACCAGCATCTCTTTTTAGGGCACGCTGCACAGTTCAGGGATCAGACAAAGGACTGTCTTAACTCTTCTCTCTTAAGACCACTGGGATAATTCAGAGACAGGAAAGTGGCAGGGAGGGTTGAGGAGGGGGAATTGAACAAAGTCCAGGTCTCTAAGTGGGTTATTTTGAGGAAAGCTGTTCTCCATCTCCCCAGAGGGGCTGGGGTAGAACCAGGGCAAGAATGTCAGGTCAGAAATACAAAGCTGGCCTGGTGCAGTGGCTCACGCCTGTAATCCCAGCACTTTGGAAGGCTGAAGTGGGCAGATCATGAGGTCAGGAGTTCGAGACCAGCCTGACCAACATAGTGAAACCCCGCTCTACTAAAAATGCAAAAATTAGCCAGGCATGGTGGCGTGTACCTGTAGTCCCAGTTACTCAGGAGGCTGAGGCAGGAGAATCACTTGAACCCGGGAGGCAGAGATTGTGGTGAGCTGAGATCACGCCACTGTACTCCAGCCTGGGCAACAGAGCAAGACTCCATCTCAAAAAAAAAAAAAAAAAAAAAAAGGCACTGGCCGGAAAGGCTCCGTGGGCAGAAACCCCAACCATGATGTCACCATGACGTGTCCCAGCACCTCCTCAGGGTGCACCGCTGTGAAATGAGGTGGGGGCCACACGACCTCTAAGTCCACTGCCCCCTCTAACAACAGACTACGATCCTGGGAACTCGGCTCTGCAGGGCCTGACCTTTGCTTGGCCAGAGAGCTGCCCCTGCTCCCTCCTCTGAGCCAAGCAGGGCAAACAGGTAACTTTCCAGACCAAGTGGCTGTGGCAGCCACCGGGTGAAAGGTGACTCAGAGAGAAGGGTCAGCCTCCCATGGGCCGCCAGGACTCCAAGGTTCTGGTGCAGCTCAGAGGGTGCTGACTCAGAGCCTCACTCTTGCCTCCCTTGCCCCTCCCTTTCAGGCTTTTGGTTTCAAAAGCATGTGCTAGTAGGCCTGCCTGCACACAGCAGTTTCCAGGCCAGTCCTCCGGGCACCTCAGCCACCAGCCCATCCACACCAGAAACTGCCATGACCACTTCAATTCACTATGCCTCAGTTTCTTCACCTGGAAAATGGGTCTCACACTAGTAATAGTACCCTCCACGGGGCTGCTATAAAAATTAAGTGAGAAAATACACATAGCAGGCCTGGCACAGTGGTTCACGCCTGTAATCTCAACACTTTGAGAGGCCGAGGCAGGTGGATCACCTGAGATCAGGAGTTCGAGACCAGCCTGGCCAAATGGTGAAACCCCATCTCTACTAAAAATATAAAAATTAGCTGGGCATGGCAGCAGGTGCCTAGAATCCCAGTTACTTGGGAGGCTGAGGCAGAAGAATCACTTCAACCGGGGAGGCGGAGGTTGCAGTGAGCCAAGATCGCGCCACTGCACTCCAGCCTGGGTGACAGAGCGAGACTCCATCTCGAAGAAAAGAAAAAAGAAAATACACAGAGTGCTTAGAATGAAACCCGACCCCTGATCAATGAGGATAAAGGTTGGTTATTTTCATTAAATCCTTACAACAGTCCAGCAAGTTAATACTGTTGTTATTATTCCCATTTACAAGTGAAGAGATCGAGGCACAGAAGAATTAAATCACTTGGCCAGGATAACCAAGCTAAAGTGTGATGAAGTCAAAATGAGCCCCAAGACTGACTCCCAAGCGCCTGGTCTTAATCCCTCCCCCGAAAACACCCTGTCTAGCCAACCTTCTCATCCCTTCTGCCATAGCTTCCATCTAAAACCCTCTCATGACAACAGGAGGCTGACGCAAGTGGAAGCCAAACTACTCAGGCCCTCCACATCACCATGGGGCTAACACCCTGGCCAATGGCCCCGGGTGAAGAGGGTGGCCCAGGCATGGAGATACAAAAAGGTCAGAGCTGAAAAGAAACTCACCCAAGGCCAGCCAACCCCTCACTTTACTAACTAGACAGCCATAGCACAGGGACCTGTCCTTGGTTACCAAGCTGGTCCTGGGGACAGGACGATATCCTAGCTGTCTGCATAGAGACCTGGGCACAGGAGAGGAAACCCCAGCATTAACGCTAGCTAGGGGAGTTGCTAAACTCAGCCACACTCACCTCTGAGCAGTGCCAAGAACACTGTCAGACTGGCAAGAGCCACCGGGGCCCATGGCTGCCAGGTCTGGCAGCCTTACAGCCTGCTCTTGGGCTCCTGCCCAGCCTCCATAAGGGCCCTGGGCACTTCCACATCATCGAGGCCTCCGCTAGGGATGAGGTGTGGGGCTGGCATCTGCCTAGGTAGCAGCAAAGGGGGAAAGGGTCAGTGTTTACTTTCGTAGCTATGTCTAAGGGTAGAGACTGGAGAATGGAGGGGAAGGGAAGGAGGGAGAAGGGGAGAGAGATCACGAGATTGACCGAGAGTGAGGATGATACCCAAAGACTAGAAATCAGATCTTCCAGGTTCTGCCAGCAGCTGCTAGAGGGGCTCACAGTCTGTAGGGGCTAAAAAGGAACTTTAAGGTTCACACTGGAAGCCTGAATTTTCCCAAAATACAGTAGGCATTCACCTTCTGCTTGTTTTTGTTTTTTTGTTTTTTTGGTAGAAACAGGATTTCACCATGTTGGCCAGGCTGGCAAACTCCCGGCCTCAAGTTAGCCACCCACCGAAACCTCCCAAAGTGCTGGGATTACAGGCGTGAGCCACCGCGTCTGGCCCACCTTCTGCTTGAAGGAACTCCAGCAATGTGGAGCAAGCCCCTTGGCTGCAGACAGCTCGAATCATTAGAACATTCTTCCTCGCCTCACAATGCCTGGTATCAAGGCATTCAGACTGTGCCCTATCCTTGCCCGTTATAGATCTAAGTTTGCTCCTCTCTCAGGGCCACAGTCCCCCATTAGGAAGGAACCAGAGCCCCTGCTTTCTACCACAGCAGCGGCACAAGTGGGTGAGCTCAGACAGCAGGACTTGCTGGGTGTCACGGTTTTCAGATGCAGAGGTGGAAGCACATCCTCCCCTGGAGCCCTCTCAGTGTGGTAATCCTGCTGTTGGCCTACTGAGGCCCCGGCTGGGGCTCTCCTGGGGGTATCTGAAGGGTTAAGGCTCCAGAATCTGCAGAGGAGGCCTGAGCTACTGGGGTTACAGCAAGAGGAAAGTGTGTGTACTGGACGGAGGGATGGAAAGGAGCAGCTGACTGGTCCAGGCAGCCTGCCCTCCTCCCTGCCAGGGACGGATGCCCAGAGTGGAAAGAATAGCTCAGAATGCGCATCTCAGGAAACCCCACCCAGCAGGCGCAGGAGCACAGCCCGGATCTGACGGTTTGTTCCCCTCCCTTTTCCTTTATCTGCCCCCACAAGAAAACACTTGATCCTCCTACCCCAGGGCACAGCTGACCTCATAGCCACGAGAGCAGACGAGTAAAAAGATATACCCAGGAGCACATTTGGGCAACTCACCAGGCCTGATTCTGCACCAAGGGGGCCTAGAATCAACTAAATATCCTTCCATCAGCCTGAACTTTGGGATTAAGAGGATGAAGCCACGGGGATCTAAACACTAAAATATCAGAGCTGGCTTAGACTTTGGATCTCAGCTGGTCATTTGACAGACAAGGAAACCCCAGAGCCAAGAAAGTTCCTGCTCCACCCCAGAACAGCCCTCTTGGTCATGGGTTTGGAACGTCCCTTCCCAGCCCTGCCCACTCTCTCAGTGACAGACACCACCACACACCCTCTCCCAAGGAGGAGCTAGAACAAGCTACCATTCTCTCAGTTCTCTAGTGACCTCTCAGCTCAGAAACAGTTAAGACCAGGCCGGGCGCAGTGGCTCACGTCTGTAATCCCAGCACTTTGGGAGGCTGAGGCAGGTGGATCATGAGGTCAGGAGATCAAGACCATCGTGGCTAACATGGTCAAACCCCATCTCTACTAAAAAATATAAAAAATTAGCTTGGCGTGGTAGTGCACACCTGAAGTCCCAGCTACTAGGGAGGCTGAGGCAGGGGGATCGCTTGAACCAGAGAGGCAGAGGTTGCAGTGAGCCAAGAACACGCCATTGCACTCCAGCCTGGGCAACAAGAGTGAAACTCTGTCTCAAAAAAAAAAAAAAAAAAAAGACTGCCAGCCCTCGACTTCTGGCCCCCAACTCGAGGCCACCCCTCCCAGCCCCCTCTCTAGCCAGGGTGGCCTCTGTCTGAACCCATGGAGACCGAGGGGTGGCTCTAAGCTACCAGGAGGGAGAGGCTGTCCTGGGGATCACTAGAGAACCCAGGCACCGCAGCTCCGCCACCCTTGTCTGGAGTAGAATCCTGTGATCAGAGTGGTAATCTCAGGTTACCCCACCCAAGTCAGGATGGCCTGGGAGTACAGATAAGGGAAGAGGAAGCCATTAGCAAACTGATGCTGAAATACTTGTGAGCGCAGTCCTTGTTCACCTCCTTCTTTGTTTCATCATCTCCTGTCTTTTCATTGAACTTCAAGATTAGGAGGGGAAAGAGACAGAAAAACGAGACTGATAACTAACCCCAATAAAGAACTAGGGAAGGCATGGTGGCTCACGCCTGTAATCCCAGCACTTTGGGAGGCCAAGGTGGGTGGATCACGAGGTCAGGAGATCAAGACCATCCTGGCTAACACGGTGAAACCCCGTCTCTACTAAAAATACAAAAACTTAGCTGGGTGTGGTGGCAGGCACCTGTAGTCCCAGCTACTTGGGAGGCTGAGGCAAGAGAATGGAGTGAACTCGGGAGGCGGAGCTTGCAGTGAGTCAAGATGGCGCCACTGCACTCCAGCCTGGGTGACACAGCAAGACTCCATCTCAAAAAATAAATAAATAAAATAGCTAGGGAAGGAAGGCAACCACTTAGAGTAGTTGAACTACTTCCAGTACTTACTACACAACTAAGGAAGTCCAGGTTGAATATCCCTCATTTCCAAAATCCAAAATACTCCACAATCTGAAACTTTTTGAGCACCAAGATGACACTCAAAGGAATGCTCACTGGAGCATTTCTCATTTCAGATTTTCAGATTAGGGATGCTCAACCAGTAAGTATAATATACATAGCCCCAAATCTGAAAAAATCCAAAATCCATGTGCTGCTGCCACTGTAGATGTCTGCCCCCATGGGTACCGTGCCTATATGCTGGAGTAGGAGAGTAAAGTGTTTTCTTGGGGGTGCAAGGGAGTTGGGGTGGGTAAAGGAAAAGGGAGGGAAGGAAATTGTCAAAATGGTCCCCATTTTGGATAAGGGATACTCAACCTATAATAACTAAGGCACATCTGATCCTTGCAACAGTGCTGTGAGGTATTCTTACCCCCATCCCACTCTATAGATGAGAAAACTGAAATTCAGAGAAGAAAAGATCTAGGGTCCCACAGCAGGCAAACAGCAGAGATGAGTTTAAGCCCAGATCTCATGCCTGATTTAAAATTCAGCCTCTTTGCTTTTATATCAGGCAGGAGTAGAAGCCCCTGAGGCACCTGTAGCAGGCACCTGCATGAATAGGCAGTACCCAGGGTGGGAGCCAGGCAGCAAAGATCAAAATGATAGAAAGGAGCTGAGCAAGCTATTGCTGCTACCATTATTTCTTTCCCCTGCAGAAAGTTGATCTGAAGCCTGGGATCTGGGCTAGGAGGCAGGGACCCGAGTTCTTGTCCTGGCTTTGGGACTGACTCCACTGTGACAGCCACATCTCTAGACCGACTTTTAACATCAGTAAGACAATTTCCCTCAACTGAAAGAATGGCCGGGCATGGTGGCTCATGCCTGTAATCCCAGCACTTTGGGAGGCCAAGCCAGGTGGATCACTTGAGGTCAGGTGTTCGAGTCCAGCCTGGCCAACATGGTGAAACGTTGTCTCTGCTAAAAATACAAAAATTAGCCGGGCATGGTGGCACGTGCCTGTAATCCCAGCTTCTGGGGAGGCTGAGGCAGGAGAATCGCTTGAACCTGGGACATGGGAGACATAGGTTGCAGTGAGCCAACACCATGCCACTGCACTCCAGCCTGTACGACAGAAAAAAAAAAAAAAACCTGAAAGATCAAAGTCCACTCTGCCAGTTTCTGATTCCGAATGAATAGCCTAACAGAAGGCTTCAGGGCAGAATGGCATGGCTCCCCAGGAACCTACACTGGGGGGTCACTACAGATGTGCAACCGTTTGAGAGGACACCTTCAGAAGCAGAAGGACATGGCATGTTCTCAGGATGGGGCTGTCCATACCCTCCCAAACTGTACCCATAATGCTATCTGGACCCTACGGCCAGCTCTTCCTGGGTGATCAGTTACCCCCAGGCTAAACATTATAACACTCTAGAAAAGAAAGAGTAGGAGGCAGGAAGTCCACTGACCTGGGTTCATGAACTAGCCGCAGGAATCCAGGCAAATGACATCCCCTGGCCTCCTTTTATCCCTAAATCAGCCCATGTGGGGGAAAGGAGTAGAGACTTGTTTATGGGAGCCAGAGAGTGGAGAAACAGAATCACCTAGACAGGCACTTCCCCGACTGTTCTAAAGAACACGCCCCAGGAGACGTTAATGGATGAGTACCGGAAACAGATGACGCTTGAGAAACAATCCACGCCCCCTTCTTGGAAATTCACAATGGCATATTCAGCCCCTGAGAAGGCCTGCCATAAGCAACCCTGTTCAGCTTTGTTTAACCCAGTGTTCCTTCAAACTTCCTTAAGCCTGAACCACTTTTATCGAGGCAAACCTATTAACATTCTGTGGGATGCTGATCCAGGCCACCTTTGTATTATAGACACCCAACCCTGAGAATCATTCATAACCTAACTCCTCCTCTCTTAAAACCTTTGTGCGTCCACCTAGCTGCCCCTCAGAGCAGTCACATGAAGTACTATACATGCCCTCTCACTTTCAGGGGGTCAGCCCAGTGCCAGGATCCCTGGTGAGGGTCCTCCCCTTCCCCCATTCCACACAGCTGCTATCCCACCATGGGATTTACTGCCAAGGGCTGGGGGACATATCCAGCTAGCACAGAACCAGGAAACGGGCACCCCTAACCTCACCTCTGTGCAATGGAGCAAAGCACAAATCATTACAGACAAAAGTGGGGGCCCGTTATTATCTCCCTCCCCACCAATGGAGGTACCTGCCACTGTGGCCTGTGGACTTCTGGATATCATTTCTACTTCAAAACAAGACACAGGTTTTGGCCTAGAATCCCAGAATCTTAGGGTTGGAAGATTCTGTCAAGGTCATCCCTTCCAGTGTCCCCAACAGAATAGGTCCAGAAGGCCCATGTCATGGTCAGCCATGTCGTTAGCAGAACTTCTTCCCAGAGAAGTGTATAAGCTTCCACTCTCTGGTCCTCCCAGTTCAGCCCTCTGAAAACACGCAAGTATGTGTGTTTCCCTTCTCTGTGGCTTCTGCTGTTTCTGAAGGGCCCAGGGTGAGGCCTGCAGTCGGAGGTGCTCTGAGGTAGACAGCGTCTGGCTGAGGCACCCATTCCCAGGGGAGGAGGCTGAGCCCAGGTGGCTATTACCCCAGCTGATGACATGAGGCTCTCCCAGCACTTACAGGATAACCCATCATTACCTCTCTGATGTGCTCATTTTTACAAGTGAGGCCTTGAGGTCATAGCACAGGAAGACAGGGCCCCTGACACTGTGGTCCTGCCTCTTCCATTTAAGCTATAAACTGGTTCTCTGGATCCTCATGACTGGAGAGACAAAGAGAGGAGGCAGGTGAGGAGGAAGTATGGCTCCCCCTTTGTGCCAACAAAGCAGCCCCAGGAGGCACCTGGCTCCCCTGCCACCGCTGGCCAGCCCAAAGGCGCCAGCTTGGAAACCAAAGCTCACCGATGAGATGAATATTTCAGAGCCCAGAGAACTGGACACCTGAGGGCCCTTCCATGACATCTGGCTCTGACCTGCGTTCCCAGGCCTACTTATCCCATGTCCAGGGTGCTCAGGTAGAACCCCAAACTCCTGGGTATCATGCAGAGGCCACAGAGGAGTGAGAGGAGATGGAGACCCCACAGGACAAGAATTGGTGCTGACCCCACAAGGTCAGGGCCTGGCCTCCCAGCAGCCTCCCTCTGCTTCCTCCCACTGGTCCCTGGCTCCTGCCCCAGCCTCTCCACTTGCTTTCCCTTTTCTCGTTTCCCTGTTTTGTTCTCACTCTGACCCAAAGAAGTCACGAGGAGGATGTTACTCCCCTGTAGCTCTGTGAACCCAGCCGGGAAACAGTAGCTGGACGTGGGACTGGCAGAGGGCAAAGTCATGGTGACAGAGGTGGCCACTTCTCCATGTCAAACACTTGAGCTGCTCATTGGCTTCTGCCCCAGCTGCAAGCTAGGACCCCCCTTCTCCACCCCTTAAATATT